AGACAGTAAAGAATCTGCCTGCAATGGGGGAGATCTGGGTTTAATCTCTGGGTTGGGACGATCCCCTGGAGGAGGGCATGGCAACCCCCTTCTGTATTCTTGCCTGGAGAATCCCATGGACAGAGGAGCCTGGCGGGCTCCAGTTCACTGAGTCAGAGAGAGTCGGATATGACTGAGCAACTCAGCATTGCGCATGCTAAAGTGAAATAAGCCAGACAGAGAAAGACAAATACTGTATTTTACCACTGATATCTGGAATCTAAAAAGGCAACAAACTGCTGAATATTACAAAAGAGAAGCAGACACACGTAGAGAATAAGGTACTGGTTGCCAGCAGCTGGTGCAGAGCGGTAATTTAGGGGCGGGAGATATCAGCTATTGGGTTACAGGGATGTTGTGCACAACACAGGGAATTTACAGCCAATGTTTTGTAATAACTGTAAATGAAGTGGGACCTTTGAAAATTGTATAAAAAATAAAAATTAAAAGAATGCCAGTCTCGGTTAATAGTAAGACCAGCTATTTTGTGCCTTGAGTCTCCACGTGAATGGTTCTCTCCCAAAGCATTTCTTTCTGTTTTTCCCCAGCTTTTTTTAAAAGAGAATCATCAACCCTGCATAGGTTTAAGGTGTATAATGTGTTGATTTCATGCACATATATTGCAAAATGTTTATCACAGTAATGATTGGTCCTACCCCAGTAATTCACAAATTTCTCTGCAGGTTGGAATCACTTGGAGGAACTTTTAAAATCCCTGAGCCTCAGGCCGCACCCATTTCATTTAAGACAGGATGTCTGGGGCTGGGCTGTTGTGTTGTCTAGTTGCCAGGTTGTGTCTGACTCTTTTGCAACCCCATGGACTGCAGGATGCCAGACTCCTCTGTCCGTGAGATTCTCCAGGCAAGAATATTGGAGTGGGTTGCCATTCCCTTCTGCAGGGGATCTTCCCGACCCAGGAATTGAACCCGAGTCTCCTGCATTGGCGGGCGGGTTCTTTACCACAGAGCCACCTAGGAAGCCCTCCACTGTATCTTTAAGGAGTCTGTGTAATACAGTGAGCCCCAAAGATGGCTCACCTCAAGGCGTTGTCCCTCCTTGCTTTATTTAGCAAAGTGGAGGACTAGGGAGTGTGTCAGTGGGTGGTGGGGTGTGTTCTCTGGATTTAAGCTGTCCACCTCCCAGCTTTCTGACCCCAGGGAAAGCATTTTGGGGGCAGCCACTCCTCATCCACCGTGGATCCTCTCAGCAGTGTGTGACGTGTCAAACTCTGGGCTTTGCAGAACAAGTTAAAGCCAATTTTCACTTTAGAGTCTGACTTTGGACGGACCTTTATTTCTGTCTGACCCCTTAAGAGTGGAGCGGGGGTTGGGGGTGGCCTTTGAGGGTCCCAGCTGCTTTGACTTTTGCACCAGAGCCCCTTTGTAGGGTAAGAAGCTGACGCAGGTCATACCTGGTCGTCACTTTGCGTAGACCAAGATGACTGTTTCAGAACGTAGCCAAGCCGGCTCTGATAGTTCCTAGACTTTAGCTGGCTTTGATGACCTTCACGATTTTTGAGTGCTTGTCCGAGTTTCCCTGGTGGCTCAGACGGTAGAGAATCTGCCTGCAATGCAGGAGATGCAAGTTCGATCTCTGGGTCGGGAAGATCCCCTGGACGAGGGCTTGATAACCCACTCCAGTATTTTTGCCTGCGGAATCCCATGGACAGAGGAGCCTGGTCGGCTATAGTCCTTGGGGTCACAAGAGTTGGACATGATTGAAGCCATGAACACACAGGCGTTTTTGTAGGATACCCTTCTATTGGTATTTGCCTTGATGTGTTTTTCATAATTAAAATACAGTTTTGAGATTTGGGGAGAGGTAAAGTGCCATTTTTAATTACATCACGTCAAGAATAAATATCAATACAGCACAATTTATCAGCGTCGATGTTAATGTTGATTAGTTGGCTGACGTGTTTGCCGGGCTTCTCCGCTGTAAATCTACCCACCTTTCCACCCTTCAGCTTTCCGGTGGGGGTCATGAGGCGTGGCACACTCTTAAGGAGTCGGGGGAGTTCACCCCTTCTTTTGACGGCAGAGTATTTATATAAGTTATTTGGAATTCTGTGTGGAAGTCTTGGCTCTTCTCCCACATTTATTTATTCATGTATATATGTTGTAGAATCATGTGCATTTATGTTTCATATTTACAAAAAAAAATGTAAGAGAGCAGGACCCCTCGGGGGTCTCGTGTGGGGAGGGGACAGGCCTTCCCCCACAGTGTCTGCTGCACTCGCTCTGACCTACCCAGAGAGACCTACTGGATGCACATTTCCTGAGCTGCTTTGCAGATGTGAACCCCCTCCCGCCACCAAACAGAAGATGTTAACAATGGGATGACCCTGAGCTCATAGCCCCAGGCCGCTTGGAGCCTAAGTGTTGGTTGATAAAGTGAATCCCCGTTCCCTGATCATAAGGCAGCCAGAGAACTGTGCGTGAACTGACCTCAGACCTGTGACCACCCCCCACCCAACCTTGCTTCTATTTATCTTTAACTGGAGGATAGCTGCTTCCCATGGTGTTGCATTGGTCTCTGCCACACATCCACATGAGTCAGCCACGGGTACAGATGTGTCCCCCTCTCCGAGCCCCCCTCCCTGCCCCACCCCACCCTCTGGGTTGTCCCAGAGCTCCGGCCGAGCCCCGCGTAGAGCTGCAACTGCCCGCTGGCTCCGTTGTGCTCATGTTAACGGGGGTTTCCACGCAGCTCTCAGCTCTTGCCTCCCTCTCCTTCCCCCGCTGTGCCCACAAGTCTGTTCATCTGCATCCATTCCTGCCCTGCAAATAGGCGCACCTGTACCATTTTTCTAGATTCCGTGCATATGCGTTCTTGTTGCTAAGTCGTGTCTGACTCTTTGTGACCCCGTGGGCTGCAGCATGCCAGGCCTCCCTGTCCTGCACTGTCTCCCGGAACTTGCTCAAACTCTGACCATTGATGCCATCCAACTGTCTCATCCTCTGCCACCCCCTTCTCCTCCTGTCCTAAATCTTTCCCAGAATGAGGCTATATGCATTAGTACATGATGTTTTTCTGACTTAAAGTATCCTCTTCCACTTAGCTTTTAAAAATGGTTTGCTGAAACCCTTTGGGGATCTCGGGGTTTGGGGGGGCATGAGCCACTCGTCCCTTCCACCCGCCCTGCAGTAAACCTTTCTCCGCTCCAAACTGACGTTTCCGTTTGTTTTGCGTCACTGTGCGTTGGGCACATGAACTCATGCTAACAAAGAGAAAATGACTGTGCCACTGCTTTCGAGGTCTTTGAGCTCTAAATGCTGTCCCAGCTTTTATCCAGTTGTGTGTTAGATAGCTGTGTTTGCTGTGCTTTGCTCACTCTTGTCCAACTCCAGGGACCATAGCCCACCAGGCTCCTCTGTCCGTGGGATTCTCCAGGCAAGAAGACCGGAGCAGGCTGCAATGCCCTCCTCCAGGGGATCTTTCTGACCCAGGGATCAAATCCTCGTCTCCGGCACCGGCAGTTTGATTCTTTACCACTTAGCCCCCAGGGAAGTCCTGGGTTAGATGGCTAGAGCCCCCAAAAGCCCACAGTCTGGGGAACTCCCAGCTGGTCCAGGGGCAGGACTCCGCGCTTTCACTGCGGAGAGCCTGAGTCTCAGTCTCTGGTCGGGAGCTGAGACCCTGCAAGCAGGGTGGCTGGAAAACACCAGAGCCAAGCCTGTCCTGGGCGGTGCGGTCCCTCCCCGAGGTTGCACAGGAAGCCACCTGCACATGCTACAACTTCTCAAGGTCCTAGGATGATACCTGTGGAGGCAGAATTCAGGAGACCGCCCTCTAGACCCCCAGTCTGGGCCCAGGCCCGTCCTCGTATAAGTCACAGGGAAATTCCCTTTGCTTTACTCTATTAATGGACTAAACTCTTTAAAAAAGTTGAGTCACACTTCTTTGGTTGTTGTTTCCAGCTCACTGGCTTAGCTGCTGCACCACCCGTGGAATCTGAACGGCCCAGGGATTGAACCCCTGTCTCCTCAGTGGCAGTCAGATTCTTTACCGCCGGGCTACCTGGGAGGCCCGTGTTTCACCTTTTAAAAAGAGTCCCTTAAACATGACGTAATTTCCCTTTTCCATCGCTTGCTATATTATCTTCCTTGGGTTCCCCCCCCCCAAACTTTAAGCTTTTTATTTTGTGTGGGGTATAGCTGATTAACAATGTTATGATATTTTTAGGTGAACAGCAGAAGGACTCAGCCATACATATAAACATATCCACTCTCCCCCAAACTCCCCTCCCATCCAGGCTGCCACATAACCCTGAGCAGAGTTCCGGGTGCTACCAGTGGGTCCTCTTGGTTCTGCATTTTGAATACAGCCGTGTGTGCATGTCCATCCCACACTCCCTAACTCCCATCCTTCCCCCAGGGCAACCATAAGTCCGTTCTCTAAGTCTGTGAGTCTCTGTTTTGTAAGCAAGTCCATTGGTATCATCTCTTTTCATTCCACACACAAGGGATGTCATACAATATTTCCCCTTCTCTGTCTGACTTACTTCACTCAGTATGACGCTCTCTAGATCTAAACCCTCTTTCGAGGCAAGATGTCTTCCTTCGTAACAGTTGACTTGCAAGTCTAATTGTAAATAAACACTTGAAACATTTTCTGATTGCATTCATGCACAATTTTACTTCAATTCTTGCAACACCCCAGTAGGTGAGTCAGTGGCAATTTGAATAGGACATATTCAAAGACATCCAGAAGCCAGGAGGAGAAGTCAGCTGGAACGCTCCTTACCACGGTGACCCCAATTCCATGACTAACCTCTGTTGGACACACGACCTTCAGTATCTCCCAGGGGGCTATTTGCACGTCATGCTCCACAGCATCTCCCAGAACTAACTGTGCCATCCCAGATTCAGAATGGCCCACAGACAAGGCAACCGATTCCCAGTTTTCATCAGGAAAAAAAACACAACTATATCTGGGGCGGGGGGGGGGGGGTCACGAGATCAAACCATCCCTGCGGCCTGACCACAGAACTCATCTTTCCAGTCCTGAACTATCTCCAGGACGTCCTTGTTCACCACCGGGCCCTCCAGTCTTCTCATCATGTCCATTCCATTGCTCTGCTTCTTCTTCCTGTGAAAGATAAGAATCGGTGTATGCTTTTCTTTTTTTGCAGTCCTGGAAAAATACATAAACCCTCTAGAATAGAACTTTACCACCCAGGAGATGGATACATGGGAAACTGCCTGTCAGATCAGTAAAGAAAGGATGTGACAGTCATCAGCGGTTGCAGGCACAGCCAAAGGTGAGCTGGTGAGCCGTGAGGGAACTCAGGAAGGAACAGCTGCCTCCAGCAGCCATCAGACTCCAGCCACTCCCCACGGTGAGCCCCGAGGGAACTCGGGACCTGAAAACACTGGATCCTGGCCCCAGAGAGCTGAGGTGCACATCAAAGGAATGATTTCAGTGAGCCCAGAGTTTTCCAACTTCCCATACACGCGCTAAGTCACGTCTGACTCTTTGTGACCCCAGGGACTGTAGCCCACCAGGCCCCCTGTCCATGGGGTTCTCCAGACAAGAGTACTGGAGTGGGTTGCCATTCCCTTCTCCAGGAGACTGTCCTGACCCAGCGATCAAACCCAGGTCTCCTGCAGTGCAGGTGGATTCTTTACCACTGAGCCACCCAGGCAGAGGTAGACGTGCACACAACTATGTTTAAAATAGATAACCAGGCTTCCCGGGTGGTGTCTGGCAGCTAGGACTCCCTGCTCCCCGTGCAGGGGGCCCAGGTTCAGTTCCCGCTCAGGGAACTAGATCCCACAGCCACAAGCAAGATCCTGAGCGGCCAAATAAGTAAATATTAAAAAAAAACAAAATAGATAACCAATGGGACCTATTGTAAAAAAAATAAATAAATAAAAACTTTAAATGCAAAGAAGACAAAAGAGCAGACGGGAGTACCCAGGCCCGCTTTCTCATCGGACCAGCAGGAGTTGGGGTGGGCAGCCCCGCGAGGGAACGGCAGAGCCCCAGGAACGGGGCGCAGGATGGGGCCGCCTCCGCCAGCAGCCTCTCCCCGGGTCGCCCTCCCGATGCCCTCCCAGGGCTGTGGCCGCTGCACCGGAAGCGGCGGGCACTTACAGGACGGCCCTGGGTCCGAGCGTCCTCTTCAGGGCCGCGTCCTGCAGGAGCTTGGCGCCCTGGGGCCCGACGCTGTTTCCGCTGAGGTCCAGGTGCCGCAGGCTCTGGTTGTGGAGGAGCACGGAGGTGAGGGCCGGGCAGCAGGCGGAGGTGAACTGGCACTCCCCCAGCCTGTGGGAGGGAAACGGGCCGTGGCTGAGCGCGCGGCTGGCACCCGAGCGCCCGGCCAGCCGAGCTGGTCACAGCCCGGAAGGCACCCTGCGGCCGGAATGCCTCACTTCCTTCTGAATCATCCGATGCTTTCGAAAAGAGGTGATGGAGAAGACTGGAGAGATCCAACCAGTCCATCCTAAAGGAAATCAGTCCTGAATACTCATTGGAAGGACTGATGCTGAAGCTCCAATGCTTTGGCCACCTGATGTGGAGAGCCAACTCATTGGAAAAGACCCTGAGGCTGGGAAAGATTGAAGGCGGGAGGAGAAGGGGGCGACAGAGGATGAGATGGCTGGATGGCATCACCGACTCAATGGACACGAGTTTGAGTAAACTCCAGGAGTTGGTGATGGACAGGGAGGCCTGGCGTGCTGCGGTCCGTGGGGTCGCAAAGAGTCGGACACGACTGAGTGACTCAACAACAATAACAAAAGTTTTATTTTCCTTAAAAAAAATTTTTTTTATATTGGAGCATAGTTGGTTGACAATGTTGTGTTAGTTGTAGGTGTTCAGCAAAGAGATTCCCTTGTACGTATATATGTATCTTTAAGATTTTTTTCCCATTTAGGTTATTATAGAGTATTGAGCAGAGTCCTACTGTGCTACACAGTAGGTCCTTGCTGGTTACCTGTTTTATATATAGCAGCAGTCTTAAAAAATCAAACTACTGCATAGCACAGGGAACTCTGGTCCATGCTATGTGTTAGCCTGGTTAGGACGGGAGTTTGGGAGAGAATAGATACGTGTCTATATATGTTATGGCCAAGTCCCTTCCCTCTTCACCTGAAACTATCACAACATTGTTGATCAGCTATGCTGCCGCCGCTGCTAAGTCGCTTCAGTCGTGTCTGACTCTGTGCGACCCCACAGACGGCAGCCCACCAGGCTCTGCCTTCACTGGGATTTTCCAGGCAAGAACATTGGAGTGGGTTGCCATTTCCCTCACCAGCTATACCTTAATGCAAAATAAAAAAGTTAAAAATAAAGTAGATTACTTATTAAACATGTAGTTGATTTACCATGTTGTGTTAATTTCCGAGGTACTGCAAAATGATTCAAATATTCGTATATATATATTCTTTTCACTTATGGTCACCTGGGAATGTACTTCATACTTGCAAATATACTTCACTCAACCTAGGAGATTAAATCAAAATTTAAATCCCAAGACTAAACTTCTGGAGTAAAAGAATTGTGACCTCCAATGAATTTCCTTTGAGTAGTTAATTATCAACAAAAATGAAATCCATTATAAGGATTAATCCTAGGAATTAAAGACAAAAAGTGTCTTTAATGATCTAGACTTAAGTGATGTCACTTATGTGTGGAATATAAGAAATCGTACGAGTAAATATGCAAAACAGAAGAAATTTCACAGCTATAGAAAACAAACTAGTGTTAACAATGAGGAGATGGAAAAAAGACAGGGCAAATTAAACTAATTGAACTGAGATACAAACTATTAAGTGTAAAATAAATAAGTAACAAGTATGTATTGTACAACACAGGGAATTATAGTCATTATTTTGTAATAGTGTTTAATGGGGTAGAATCTGTAAAAATACTGAATCACTATGGTGTATGCCTCAAACTAGTGTAATATGATAAGCAACTGTATTTCAATAAAAAAAATAAAAGCTCACATATCTGAGTGAAAAAAAGAGCTAGACTTAGAACCCTACCAATAGTGAACAGAAAATGCGGGTAGGAAAGAGGCAAAAAAAAAGGTGTATATGCATAACTGAATCACTTTGCTCTACACCTGAAACTAAGAGAACATTGTTCATCAATCCCAATACAAAACTAAAAATAAATAAAAAATAACAAGTTTCAACCTTTGTTATTGGAGAAGAGATGTTTCCAAATCTTTCCTAAATATCTGGAGTAACAATAACACTATAATAATTAAACAATTAACAACAATTAAACAACACTATAACAATTAGAAATGGGATAATTGACTTAAATCCTTCTAAGTCACTGGCTGGTATGATGTTGGCAGAGAGACCTTATAATAGAAGGAAAATTTATATGCAGAAAACAGAGTCCCTAAGCATAAATGCTGATTTCAGAAGACTCCATCTAAGGTATCAGTCTAAAACAAACACTCTTTTCTTGATGTTTCCTGAATGGAAGGATTTTTCCTGGAACGATGGTCCTTAAACTCTAGTAATCATGGAACCATGGGAGGTGTTTGTGAGACACGGACTGTGCAGGGCCCACAGGACCCAGCAGCCCTGTGTCTGGATATGGACCCAGGATATCGAAATCAGAACATCAGATAGAGTTATCTGCACCGCATGTCACAGTAGCGCCGTTTACAACAGCCAAGATATGGCAGCAGCCTAGATGTCATCGACAGATGAATGCATAAAGAAGGTGTGGCACTCACACCATGGAGTACCATGCAGCCACGAAGAGCAAGGTGTGGCACATACACACAACGCATCACCCTGCAGCCACGAAGTAGAAGGAAACCCTGCCGTTTGTGACAACTTGGGTGGCCCTTGAGGGCATGATGCTCAGTGAGACAAACCAGACACAGACAGACAAAGGATGCAAGAATTTGCCTTTCTAACAACTTCCCAGACAAAAACATTCACAGTCTGAGCCACTTCCCAGGTGGTTCATAGGTTAAGAGACCACCTGCCCGTGCAGGAGTTGTAGATTCGATCCTTGTGTCAGGAAGATCCCCTGGAGAAGAGAGTGGCCACCCACTCTGGTATTCTTGCCTGGAGAATTCCATGCACAGAGGAGCCTGGCGGGCCACAATCCATGGGGGTTGCAGAGTCAGACAGCAACTGAACACACACAGCCCACAGGGTCACAGAGTCGGACATGACCGAGCAACTGAACAACAATATTTGAGGACCTCACTCGGAGAACCGCTGCTCTGAAGCTTCCAAGTCCTCTACCCAAAAGGATGGCAAACCCCAGAAATGCAAAGCATGACCCCACTTTCTACCCCAAGAGAATTTTACAGACCCCAGGTCCCAAAGAAAGCAATGGGGACAGCTTACTCGAGAACCTGGAGGCGAGAGTCAGGTTTCAACAGGTGCTGACAGAGCAGGATCACGCCGGTGTCCCTCAGGCTGTTACAGCCAAGGTCCAGACTTCTCAGGTTTTTATTTTTATCAAGAACAGACACTATATCTTGACAGCACTCGGAGGTCAGGGTGCAATTCCTCACCCTGCAAAGAAACACCAATCAAAACGCCTTTAAGCTTCTTTTCTGCCTTTTGTATTTTTTTTGTAGAACAGCTTTACCCAAATATAATAACTGATGCTTTCCAACTGTGGTGCTAGAGAAGACTCTTGAGGGTCCCTTGGACAGCAAGATCAAACCAGTGAATCCTAAAGGAAGTCACCCTGAATGTTCATTGGTGATGCTGAAGCTGAAGCTCCAATAATACTTCGAACACCTGATGCGAAGAGAAGACTCACTGTAAAAGACCCTGATGCTGGGAAAGACTGAGGGTGGGAGAAGGGGGCGACAGAGGATGAGGTGGTTGGATGGCATCACCGACTCAATGGACATGGGTTTGAGCAAACTCCGGGAGACGGTGAAGGACAGGGAAGCCTGGAGTGCTGCAGTTGAGGGGGTTGCAAAGAGTCGGACACGACTGAAGTGACTTGGCATACATGCACAGCATTGCTGAAAGGAATTTACCACGATCTGGTGTTGGAACGGCCGCAAGCTAATAGTTCCTGCGGCAGTGGAAAGATGTCAGCACCTCTGACCCTCTGATTCCCCGCCGGGTCGCCCAGCACACATCCGAGAACTCTGCTCCTAGCTAGTTTGCCCTTGAAACTGAAGGCCCTGCCGCCCCCTCTCTGTTACGCTTTCTTCCAGGGTCCGCACAATGTCGTGCGTGCAGCAGGCGCTTGACCAATCCGTGGCATAAAGGAACATATAACATACACATGGCAGTCTCTCCCCACCGCCCTGCTCTTCCCCAGGGCGTTCCAGAGAGCGGCGTCTAGGGACTTACACCAGCCTCTGCAGAGGAGACGGAAAGTTTCGTAAGACTTTACAGAGCTCCTTCGCCCCGTCATCCTGCAGGGCGTTTTCTGCCAGGCTCAGGTGGGTCAGACTCTGGTTACTCACGAGAGAAAAGGCAAGACTTCTGTAGGAAAGCGACGTGAGGTCACAGTTCTCCAGCCTGTGGGCGAGACACTCACAGTCGGGATGGAGTTTATTTATTTATTTGTTTTTGGGTCACCCTGCTTATTTATTTATTTTTTTTTCCATCTATTTCTATGGGATGGAGTTTAATTCGTGCCCTTGACCAGATTTTTCCTGGTCTCCTGCTGAGCCATGACGATTTCCACCAGGGCCTTCGTCCTAAAGGCAGACGTCTCATCCCACTTCTGTGACCGGCTCTTAGGGTTTCCCGGGTTTAAAGGAGAGGACTGGGAGTCGTGATGTGAGAAGGAACTGTGGATCAAGAAAACAGTTATAGAGAGGAATGAAGAGGGAGGAGAAAGCGACCAGCAGGGACTCTTAAGAGTGAAGATATTTCCGGAGGTGACATGGGAAGAGACAACATCTCAGAAAGTTACAGAAAATTGGGAAGATGCCCTGAATATATAAAGCAGGCCTTCATGGACAGCTCAGGCCTCAGCGGCAGATCAGACAGACACTTAGATCCTTGCACGTTCGCACACATTACTGTTCGGCGCCAAGGAGGAGCGCGGCAGAAACGACGACACACAGCAGTCGGCTGCGATGTCGGTCGCCTGGGAAGCGCCCACGCGGCTGCGGAGGCCGCCGCGGGGCCCCTCACGGCTCTGTGTCGTGGTAAAGGCGGGTGGGGGGGCCTGAGCCCCACCTCCAGAGGGGGCGGGGCGGGGGTCCCGGGCCGGTCACCGAGAGGAGGCAATCGGTGCTGGCGAGGTTCCAGTGCGAAGGCGGGACGACGATGCATCAGGATCCCTGCGCTTCTTCCTCCCGGGACAGCAGGTGCAGACACGTGCTAGCTTAGAGCTCTGTCTGTCTGTCGGTCCCTCTGTCTGTCTCTCTGTCTCAACCCTGCACTGCCCCTCCCACACCATTAACAATCAGAGGACTTCACTTTGCTCCGAGATACACTCTCCCGTTTTCTGTTTTTCCGAGGCACAGCGCAGCACCCCGTAAGACTCACGACAGCCTCTCCAGCTGGGGCACCAACACGGGGACACACGGCTCGCCCCTCTCCAGGCAGCCGCGTCTCAGCATCAGGGTCTTCAGGTGGATGTTCTTCCTGAGACTCCAGGCGAGGTCAGCCCCGTTGGTGGGGTCAAATGGGCAACCGTCCAGCCTGCGGGAGTCACAGAGACAGCAGCCCTGAGCTCCCGGGGTGGGGGTGCCCCCAGCTACCCCGACCGACCTCACGTCTGCCTCGGCCCTTCCCCGAGAGCTGCGGGAGGGGGTTCCCATGCTCCCCGAGTGAACCCGCATCCATTCAGCATCTGAACTGCATGTCACCAATGGAAAATGGGCTTCCCTGTGGCTCAGCTGGTGAAGAATCCACATGCCATGTGGAAGACCTGGTCAGTCCCAGGGTCGGGAAGATCCTCTGTAGAAGGGAATGGCTACCCACTCCAGGATTCTGGCCTGGAGAATCCCATGGACTGTATATAGTCCACGGGGTCACAAAGGATCAGACCCGACTGAGCGACTTTCACTAGCATGACAGAAAACAACACACACTCGGGGCCGTGATGAACTGGCGTGGGGTAACTCTGGGACTCTAGCCCCAAGACAGGGACTCCGCCTGCACTTGAGCACACCTTTCCAGGTTTATCCGCCAAACCGCCTTCAGGATGAAGAACCAGGACAGAGGGAGGGCTGCAGGAGCTGGGGCGGGGTGGAGTAAGTGATGGTTAAAGGGCACAACCCCCGGTTATAAGGTGAATAAACTCTGGAGATCTCTGGTCCAGTCTGCTGACGGTGGTTAACATGAGGGCCGTGTGCATGCACGTGGCTACAACAGAGCTGATCTCAGGTGTTCAAACGGCGGCGTTGTGAGCCAGCCAAGGGGTTAATTAGCCTGACGGTGGCGAGCGGTGCACAGTGCGTGCATGTATGAGACCGTCATACTTTTTTAAAAAAGCCGAGTGAATGGTCACAAATAGGAATGAAATACTGCCATTTGCAGCAACAGAGATGGCCCCAGAGATGATCATACTGCGTGAAGTGAGTCACAGACACACATTTTGGTATCACGTATACATGGAATCTGAAGCATAACATGAAGGAATTTATTTACAGAAGAGAAACAGACTCACAAACATCGGAGACAAAGGCATAGTTTACCAAAGGGGGAAGGGGTGGGGAGAGGGAGAAATCAGGAGTCCAGGGTGAACAGATACATGTACAGAATAGACTATGTCCAGAACAGATCGTGCTGTTGTACAGCAGAGATGGACACGAGGTTGTAAGGCAACTACAGTCTAGTTAATAAAGCAGATGAAGCAACAAGGGTTTCCTCTGTCGCACAAGGAACTATAGGGCTTCCCAGGTTAGGGACCCGCCTGCCAAGCAGGAGACACCAGTTCCATCCCTGGGTCGGGAAGATTCCCCTGGAGGAGGGCCCTGCAACCCACTCCAGTATCCTTGCCTGGAGAATCCACATGGACAGAGGAGCCTGGTGGGCTATGGGCCACGGGGTCACAGAGAGTTGGACACGACTGAGCGACTTAGCACAGCTCAGCATGGCACAGGGGACTGCCTTCAGCATCTCACAGTGACCTGTCGTGGAAAAGACTGAAAAAATCTGTCTGCGGAGCCGAATCACTCTGCTGTCGACCTGAGGCTAGCACGAGCCTGTAAATGGATGACGCTCTGATAGAAGAAGAAAGCTGGGTGAAACGCGCGGCAACTGCACCACAGCGAGACGCCAGGCAGATGGGGCCCATGACCAGCGTCCTGACGGAGCCCATGACCGGCATCCCCTCCCCGCCCCGCGCCTCAGGCCTCACCTGAGAGTCTGCAGAAAGCACCGCGGGTGTTTCAGGGTGGTGCAGAGGGCATCTGTCACTTGGCGTCTCATCTGCGTGTTTTCTATTTCCAAGTGTCTCAGGTACTGGTTTTCCACCAGAACTCTGATGATGCCTTCACTCACCACGAGGGAGCCCACATGCCTAAAGCTGAAGAGGTAAGCAGTGTTCACTTATCACAGCGTCCTACCAGCCCGTCAACCCTGAACACTCACTGGAAGGACGGATACGGAAGCTGAAGCTCCAATACTTTGGCCACCTGATGTGAAGAGCTAACTCATTGGAAAAGACCCTGATGCTGGGAAAGATTGAGGGCAGGAGGAGAAGGGGACGACAGAGGATGAGATGGTTGGATGGCATCCCGACTCAATGGATGTGAGTTTGGGTAAACTCTGGGAGATGGTGATGGACAGGGAGGCCTGGCGTGCTGCAGTCCGTGGGGTCACAGAGAGTCAGACATGACGGAGCAGGACAGCGACGTCAGGATGGCCACACTCACATCAGCTTTCGGAGGTTACAGTGTGCATGCCTCAGTGCTGCGGCGAGAATCTCCACGGTCTCTGCGTCCATCACGCTGTCTTTCACAGTCAGGACTTCCAAACTTTCGTGTGTTCTAAACACAGAGCAGAACTCTTGCCACCAGAAGGAATGCCTGTCACTGCCTTCTGGTCTGTGTGGGAGAAAAAAAAAAAAAAACACAGAAAAAATGGCTCATTGTTGGTGATTAAGCTCGAGAAAACCTACCAGCAAACCCATGACTTGCTTATGATCGTGGCTCCCTTTGGGGCTTTCCTGAGATGCCCTCATTTAGAAAGTGGCCCAGGGGACTTCCCTGGTGGTCCAATGATTAAGAATCTGCCTCGCAATGCAGGGGGCATGGGTTCGATCCCTGGTGGGAACTAAGATCCCGCATGCCTGAAGAGCAGCGAGCCCCCGAGATACAGCCGCTGAGCCCAGGAGCCACAACTGGAGTCTGTGCTGCGAGGGGAGATCCCACATGATGCACGGAAGGAGCCGCCGCCGCCACCCGGACCCACGCAGCCAAACGCGTAACACGTTAAAAAAGAAGTACAAAGTCGCGCAGCGGAACGGTTCTGAGATTTCTCATTCCACTCCAGGAAGATTCGTGGCCCCAATGTGACTGAGGGAGAGAGAGCTGTTTTGCAATCAGTCAGGATTTATATGTGGGCAGGAAGTAGGTCGCAAGATAGAAACCGTATTCTTGCCCTGTGCTTATGAAATTGTTATCAAGGAAAAATGCCTTGAAGCAAGTCAGACAGAAAAGGAGAAGGATCCTATGACACCCTTCGTATGTGGGATCTAGAGAGAAATGATGCAAATGAACTCATGAAACAGAAAGAGACGCACAGACTTGGAGAACGAACTTATGGTTCAGTTCAGTTCCGCCGCTCAGTCATGTCCGACTCTCTGGGAGCTTATGGTTAGCAGGGCGGAAGGATGGGGGCAAGGGGTGGTTAGGGAGTGTGGGGTGGACATGCACTCACGGCCGTATTTGAAATGGAGAACAACCAGGGCCTTCTGTAGCACAGGCAACCTGCTCAGGGCTACGTGGCAGCCTGGGCGTGAGGGGGTTTGGGGGAGAGGGGGTACATGTGTGTGTAAGGCCGAGTCCCTTCACCGTTCAACCGAAACCATCACAGCATCGCTAATAGGCTATGCAGCAACATAAAATAAAAAGTTCTAAAAAGGAAGAATAAAAACTCTATAAAGGAACAGAATAAGGGGAAAGTATGACGATGATGGTGATGATTACTAGGGCACAGTGAGCACAGAATCGAAACTCTCTCCCAAGAGCAGCGTGTTCGGTGGTTCGGCTCTGGTTTTCACCTTCACTCTTTCCCGTCACAGAGACCCCACTGGACAGCACGTGCCTAGAGACTGAAAACATTACCGTGTACAGAGTGAGGGGTGATAGATGGAAGGAAGCCCCAGGTGCGTGGAGGGAGGGCGCACAGCATGGCAGGAAGGGTCTTGTTTGTTCCCCCGGGATTTTCTCAGTGTCAGTGGAAATCAGCACCCCAGGAATACTGTCTGTCCTGTTATTTTTCCCCTAGCTTAGGAATTATTTTCTCTTCCCTTTTATGCTTTTCCACCAGCAGTTTGGGGCTTCCCTGGTGGGTCAGCTGTAAAGAACCTGCCTGCCAATGCAGGAGATGTAAGAGACACGGGTTCCATCTCCGGGTCAGGAAGACCCCCTGGAGAGGGAAACAGCAACCCACTCCAGTATTCCTGCTGGAGATTCCCATGGACAGAGGAGCCTGGCGGGCTACAGTCCGTGGGGTTGCAAAGAGTCAGACACGACTTAGGGACTAAACAGCCACAATGGGAAGTTTAGAGTGTCACACTCTCTTAGACACGCTGTTCAGTGAAACTGTACCAAACGTTCACGACAACCCTCAGCTGAGACATAAACACACGTTTCCTGCTCGTATTTTCAACAAAGCCATTGTTTCAAGCAGAATTACTCGGAATATGACTAGCCACATGCTCTGCAGAACATTTAACCCAGGCACTTCCTTTAGTTGCATGAGAGAGGAGAAAAATATACGAAGTTTCTCTAGTTCACTGATGGTCTCTGGGGTTGAGGTAATGAAGTCACCAATGAGCTCACCACTACCAATTCTTTTTTTTTTTTTTGTTAAACCGGAACAGACTGTTTATAAGACAGACTCCCATGTGCAAGGGATCTACTCACGACAGGTGGTCACCCTTGAGGCCCAGGAGATGCTAGACAAGGTTCCCCGGCAGGACCTCGAATCCCACCGAAGGAGAGACCCCAGCACTTACTGGGGAGAAGGAAGAGGGCCTGGCGAGAGGCTGGTCGTTTTGGCGACGGTCAGTTCTATCTCCTGCAGACGTCGGCAGAACTTGAGGCAGAAAGCGGAGACCTGCAGGTCCCTGATCTTGCTGATGACCAGCAGAGCCTTACGACAGTCATGGAGGATCTGACCCACGAAGACCTCCTCCCGGATCTCGTACAGATAGTAGAAGAGCTGGGGGAGCCTGTGGTGTGGGGCCGGGGGGTCACTGTCGGGCGGCAGGGCGGCGATCCTCAGCAGCTTCCTCTTGTTCCCCAGGGACACCTTGCACCCAAGCAGCTGCTCCACCGCGAGGGTGCACGTGTCGTTCAACAGGCCAAACAGGAAGAGCGCCATTCCGGCCAGGGGGTTTCTCCATCTCCCGGGATGAGCGAGCAGCTGTAGGACGCGGAAGCTGTCCAACGCTTTGAAATTCCTGAGCTGCTGCGGGAAGCAGAGGATGAAGAGCAGGGCAGCAAAGAACTCCTGGAAGCTCGGGTGGGTGAAGGCGACGAGGTCCCTGTCGGCCGCCACCCTCCGGAGGAACCGCACCCTGAGAAACAGCTCGACGTCCCTTTCGTCCAGTCTGGCCAGGCTGCAATCCGTCTCACCGAACACCCACTGGTTCTTCCACATGCCCTCCGCGGCCAGGGAGCACAGGCGTTTCACCTGCTCCTGGTGGGTCTCGCTGACGGCGTGCCGCACCTGGGTCGGCAACAGGCCGGAGAGGCAGTGGACGAACACGGCCGCGGCGTTGGGGAAAGCCTGCGGCAGGCTGCCATCCCGATCCATCTGCTGCTTCAGGCAGGAGCAGACCAGCCAGCAGGTGACGGGGGCCCGGCACATGGAGAAGAGGACGGCGCTGCCCATGGCGAAGCGCAGGGCCGTGTCGGCATCGCGCCCGTTTTTGAAGTACGACCTGAAATACCTGGATCGCTCCGGCGCGCTGAAGCCCGTCAGGGTGATCAGAGAGGGGTCTTTCAGAAAGGGACTCACGGTCTTCCACAAGTTGAACCTCAGGAAGACGATGATCGTGGCATCAGGGAGCATCGTTTTGCTCAACAGAGAGGGCAGGAGGACGGACCCAGGCATTTTCTGGCTCCAGTCTTGGCTCAGGTCCTCCGGTCTGTCTACGAGGGTCAAGGTTAGTTCCTCAAAGCCATCCACCAGGAGGAGGAGGTGTTCCGGGTGGGAGAGGATCCTAGACGCGAGAGCCAGAGACCCGGACAGCTTGCAGGCGATCAGCTCGGAGAAGCTCCGCTCCTCCGGCCCGTCCATCTCCTGGCAGCGGAGGTAGAAGGCGAACCGGACCTTGTGGGCGTAGAACTTGCCCTCTGCCCACTCCAGCATCACTTTTTTGGCCACGGTGGTCTTCCCGAGGCCAGCGTCTCCCAGAAGGACCACGGTCTTGGGCTGTCTTCCTTGGGGTTTTCTGGGCAGGAGAAGACACTGCAGGAGGACGTCTTCTCTGCAGGGCTCTTGGTAAAAGAAGCCCACATTGTTCCCAGGCCAGGATGTCCTGTCCCACAGGGTGGAGTGCTCACTCATCACACGTGCCTTGTACTCCCGAATTTTATCTGCAGGGACACGACAGGGGAGACGCAGGGTCCAGCATCAGCGGGCCGTGAGCACTAAGCGATCCACCGGAAGACAAGCCTCCGTGTCTACCCCGACACAGGCGCGCCCATCGGGCACTTTTCCTGCAAGCCCTGGGGGTCCACGAGCTGAGGCTCCATGCTCCCAGTGCGGCGGGCCCGGGTTCTATCCCTGCCGGGAACTAGACCCCACACGCCACCATTAAAACCTGGCACAGCCAAAAACAAATTTAAAAAAAATAAATTTTAAGAAAAAAAAGACTGAATCCAACCGAATGAGAGAGAGAGAAGGACGGTGGCTGGACTTCCTCCTGAGATGAGTCCACAACCACTCCTTTCTCTGAAGTTCTGGTTCACAGAGGGGATGCTGGGCACACCCGTTTGCAGCCCGCCGTGCCTCAGGAAGCCAGCATCTCATCCCGACCCACCACCTCTCATCTGCCAGGGCCCACGCAGGGACCACACGTACCAGACTCATCTTCCTCCAAAGTCAGCTCCCTCTTTCTCTGGTTCAAGTCCTCCGGTTCCAAGTTAGGTGAAATTTCTGGAAAATATGAAAAAAAAAAAAAAAAAAAAGGAGGCTGTCTCATAGGCATGACAAGATGGATTGAAAGACAGAGCCGCCCAGAGGCAACGGGGCCTTTAAAGAGAGTGGCGGCCAGGCCATTCACGAGTCTCATCCTCTCACCTGCTTAGTGCAGGGAGAGGAAAATACCTTCGCTTCCATCAACATGTTGGGAGGTGAGGACAGTGCGGAGGCAGACGGTACCGGGGAGGGTGTTTGTGTGTGTGTATTTAGTCGCTCAGTCGTAAAGTAAAGCCAATGTCTAAAGGGTGGGGAGGGGAGGGAAGTTCTAGAATAAAAGTGTTTTAAAAGCTGTAATGCATGCATGCTAAGGTGCTTCAGTCCTGTCTGACTCTGCAACCCCATGGACTGTAGCCCACTGGGCTCCTCTGTGCATGGTATTCTCCAGGCAAGAATACTGGAGGGTTGCCATTTCCTCCTCCAGGGGATCTCCCTGACCCAGGGATCGAACCCAGGTCTCCTGCATTGCAGGTGAGTTCTTTACCACTGAGCTGCCAGGGAAGCCCAAAGATAGACTCCACTGCTTGCCCTTGTTCAGCTGGCCCACAGGAGCGACTGGGAAAGCGCCGAGTTCTCCAGCCCGCCCCCTGCTCTGTTCTAGATTCCCCTCTCACCGTTCAGCTCCCTCTGTATCTGAACACAAAGCCCCGTCTGGTTCATCTTGGCGAAGATGTCATGAGCCACCTCCCAGGCGCGCCGTCCTGGGAAGTACTCGGTCAGCAGATGGACCACCTCCCCGCAGCGGACTGACTTCAGCTGGTCCCAGGTGAGTGGGGTGCAGTTGGGTCTGGGGTTCTCCTCCAGTAAAAGCTGCTTGAACCTCTGTAGATGCTCCGCGCTGACAGAGAGCATGAAAGGCATGACTCCGTTTCTGAAGGGGATGGAGGAGGACTCCGGCGAGGGAGGGGAGACGCCGGAGGGAGGGGAGGACGAGCAGGAGGGGTCAGAGTTCAACTTCACGTCGCCCATGGTCACTCGGGGCTGGGAACCGCAGCGCCGGCGGGCGGAGGGGACCAGCTGGAAGAGAAGACAGAGGCAGCCTGCGGAGACAGAGGTTACAGAACGTGAGAGCACCACCCTGGGGAGATTTACTTAATCCAGACTTGATGGAACCTGGCGGCTTCCCTGGTGGTTCAGACCTAAAGAACCCGCCTGCAATGCAGGAGACCCAGGTTCCATCCTGGGGTGGGGAAGAGCCCCTGGAGGAGGGAATGGCAACCCACTGCAGTATCCTTGCCTGGAGAGTCCCGTGGACGGAGGAGCCTGGCGGGCTACCGTCCACGGGGTCACGAGAGGGTGTGATACGACCCAGTGATAACTCTGTAACCGGTGAAGCCTGTCACGTGCTGGATTTTCTCTTTCCTCCCTTCCCGGGAAATTCTCTGTCCTGTGGAAAGACCTGGGGCCCATCCGGTGCTGGGGCTCAGCATTTAGACTCAGATCCACTCTGGTGTTTATTCTCTCTGCGACCCTCTTCTCACCTTTGATGGCGGGAATCTTATCATAGGTGCCGGGGACGGTTCTCAGAGACACACCCACAGGTACATTTAAGACAGTGCCTGGTACATCAGAGTGAGCAGTGGCTTAGCGCTTCCTTCTATACCATGGTTATTTTAAAGACTCACTGAGTGTTTATAAAAAGCACCTGGAATCAACGTCTCCGTTTAGGAAGGTGAAACATTTGGGAGAGGGACGATGGGGAGACTTGCATGACAATGGGAGTGTACTTAGCACCACTGAACTGTACAGTTAAATACGGTTAATATAGTGGGTTTTATATCATCTGACTTTTACCACAATTAAAAAAAAAAACCCCAATGTCAAAAGGGTGGGGAGGGGAGGGAAGTTCTAGAATAAAAGTGTTTGAAAAGCCATAATGCGTGCGTGCTAAGTCGTTTCAGTCCTGTCTGACTCTTTGTGACCCCGTGGACCATAGCCCGCCAGGCTCCCCTGTGCATGGGATTCTCCAGGCAAAAATACTGGAGTGGGTTGCCATTTCCTTCTCCAGGGCATCTTCCCAACCCAGGGATCGAACCTGCATCTCTTACATCTCCTGAGCTGGCAGGCAGTTTCTTTACACTAGTGACACCTGGGAAGCCCAAACGCTGTAAGAAGCAGATGCAAGCTGTGCTCCTAGTTTAAATAAAACAGCTGTATGAAATGGTCTTAGGACAGCTGGGGAAATTTGAATATGGATTCGATAATAGATGGTATTAAAGAATTAATGTAAATTTTTTTAAAGGTGTGTATGTTATTCCCTGCTACCTATCTTCTCCACATCACATCCTTCTTTCATCATCTTGCATCGGATTTATTGTGTGTAAAGAGCGGACTGTGGAGGGAGAGAGAATAAAATCATTATGAGGAAAGGGGCTTTTGTCTTGGTCTACGCACTGCTCACCCTATTGCATCTCTGGGTTTTTGTTTTTTTTAAGAGTTTTGGACGTGGACCATTTTTAAAGTCTTTGTTGAGTTTGTTACCATATTGCTTCTGTTTCATATTTTGGGTTTTGGGCCACAAGGCACGTGGGAGCTTAGCCCCCTGACCACAGATGGAACCTGCCCCCTCCCACCCCACAGCTGACGGTGGGGTCTCAGCCGCTGGACCGCCAGGGAAGGCCCCGAGCCATCTTTCCTTATCATCCTTCAGTGATCATGCCCTAATCCCGGAACTTCCTGGCCACCTAAATCAGCCTGTGTTGGACGCTGACTCAAAGTCCTCTCTCTTTCCCCTTGCTGCCGTGGTTTTGGATAATTGCAAGCTCCCTGTGGATAAGAACCCCCTCCACTCTTGACTCCATTATTCTGCTATTCGAACAAAAATAAGAAGCCCAGGTTAAGCAAAAGGAAAGATCTTAAATATAACAACCGAACTTCACACCTCAAGGGGCTGGAAAGCGAAGCGCAAACTCAGCCTCCCTGGCCTGGCGAATGCACGGGTCTGGCCCAGTAACTGAGACAGAGCTGTGGAAGACCAGGGCGTAGAAGAGGAAAGCGACCCACTCACCCGGAAGGGAGCTAGGCTTCCTGGCTCCTTCGTGTCACAGACATCTCCCGAAGCAGAACGAAGACGCGGGGCCGGCCCGCCTTCCACCTTTGTAAGCTGCGGGCTCCGCTCGGCTCCCGCCCTCGCTTCCCATTGGCTGCGGCTGGCGCGTCGCCGCCCTCTTCACCGCGCAAGCTGGAAGGCTGTCAGCATCCTGGGTGGGAAAGCCCTGGGCGGCAAGGCTTGTCCTGACGGGCGCTCCCAATTGGGGGAGGACCTGCGCCCCTGCCTCTTCAATTCAGAAGAACAAGCAGCTTCAGAAAATTACAGGTTTGGGGAATTCCCCGGACTCGTGGAGGGCAAAACGCCTGTCCTCAGCCCAAAGATGCTGCGTCCAGCCGTAAACCGCTAGAGCCGGTAACCGGATGATCTTGTTCCCATGCGCATCACTGAGCAAAAGGAAGGGTTTGGTATCAGCAGGACCTAATGTGGGTCTCCCCAAAACAGGCCCTCTCAGAGGGAGACCCAGATGCTGGGAGCCGTTGTGGGAGGTCCCGCCCGTGACGAGGTCATGAGGAAAACACCTGACTCGCAAGGCCGTTCAGGACACAAGGGACCCTCCAGGTTGGCCCCGGCCTCTACCCCACCCTGCATCCTCCCCGCTTTTCTGCTGTTGGTCTTGTTCGCCCTACTGTGGATTCTTGTGTTGCCTGCTGACAGCTCTCCTGCTCCTCTTTCCCTGAATGAGGACCAACTTAAAACCCCAACTAATGAATCTCCTGGACGCTGGTACCCTATGAAGGGGCCAGGGATGAAGGAAATGCTTCAATTCAAACCCTTTTGCTGGCATTCTGGCTTGTGAGATAAATGTGTGCTCCCATTGCAAAAAATGCTCAAGATTGTTCTAAACATCCTGAGCACAGTACGCTAACAAAAGACACCATTAAGCATAGGTCCCTCTGCAGGTTGAGAAAAGCTCCACAAATAAAATAGCCACAAATGTGCCTAATAGAAAATAGTTTAGATAGAGATTAGCTGGTGACTTCTTGCAGGTTATTGACTTTTAGACTAAGAGCCTGTTTTGTGCCATATCTGCTGTTTTTGCAATCCT